TACAGATAGTGTATATGGGATGTTATTCACAAATAAATTCAACAGTAGGAGTAAGGTTCACTCAAATTACAAACAGTGATTGACAAGGTTCATTCAATTAGGTCAAATGTGTAAAAAGAATATCAAAAGTCACAAAGGAACCTCTCTTGAGCTTTGAAATGTATGGACCAATAAGAATGGAATGTAGTTAAGTAGATGCTTGCCCATTGATTGACTTACTAAAGTATAATTGAGTTCACTGAAGAGTTCATAGGGTCATGTTTATTTATTTGTTTTTTTTTCTAAGTAAATGTTAGTGATGGTAATGCATGACTGTTTTTAGGACATTAAGGTTCAACTTGGAGGGAAAATAGGGTGTTGTGTTATTTCATGGCCTAGAATAAATCAGAATGGGTAAAGTTGTTTTTCAATGTCGTCTTCATATTTGAGCTGTATGACCTATCCCTTAATCCTGCTTTATTTTACTACTACATATGTCTTCAATGTGGAAAGTAAGTCAAGAACTAAAAGATCTACCCAGACAAGGACAAATTTGTGTGGGTGTATCTTTGTTCTCTCATTTAAGATAAGCTACCCACGATGAATGCTTCTGATGTATCTACATACGAATGTCAATAATGAGGATTTTGCAACTATTTGTGGCATTTTTGTTATGGTTTTTGGAGTCAACCAATCTCCATGCCTGATTAAAGACATTGGTGCTTTGAGGTATCAAAGCTCTTATTTACCCCATGCATGGCAGACAATTTTTTTTTTTCACCCTTTCACAAACAGGAGTGACCAAGACACAATTTTCTAAAACAAGATCAATACTTTATTAAGCAGCCAAGTGATGAGAAGACTGAAAAATGTGAATTAGAGGATTACGAGTTGATCCAATACCAAATTCTCCAAAGTAGCATCAAAAGATTTGCATGGGAGACAGCAAGGAGAATATTATTACCAATATGATCGTGAAAGTGAAAAAGATAATGGGAATGGATTCTTAAAAAGCATATTTTCAGGTCTTGAGGGGCAAGGGTATGAAACACATTTTTTTTACTATTAAATGCACAGACTCATTTCCAAAATGAGTCGTCATATTGATCATTATAAGTATTATAAGCATTGTTATAGGAAAATCAAGCTTTAAAAGATTGTTAAATATTCAAACAATCTCAGAAATAAACACCATAGATGTTTCATTAGGGGATTAATCACCTGGTACACACAGAGAAAAAGTCATTGTTTGACTTGGCCTGTTTACATGCATTCACAAGAACATCAAGGAATCCATTGATAAATTCTTTGTTTCAGTCTGTCAACCATCTTTATACACCCCAGTATTTACTGGTAGTTCTCCTTTACAGCCCTAATGCATTTTGATACATTTGTATATTTCTCACTACCTGTTTGCAGGATAAGGGATGAAATCGCCAACATTTGCGTCGTCTGCGAACTGAAACCTCGACGGCAAATTATTTTAATTTCCATTTGGAACTCAACGGCTACTTTATACGTCATGCTGAAGTTGAGCTGTGGCACTGTATGAGACAGTAAGCTCCTGCAGCCATTTTTAAAATTCTAATTAACTAAGAGTAGAAATTCATTTTTTAATCAAAGTCTTCCTTGGCGTCGCTGTCGTGGTTTCTTAAAGTCCCTATTGTGTAAGAAGAAGATCATGATTATGAGTGATAGTTAGGATAATGTATCGATCAAAACCAAACTTCTTTGGATAAATTTTAATTTCATGACCTTGGTATCCATGTATTCTTTCATTATTATTTACGTATTCTTCATTATAAATTTGGAAAACAGAACACTTTACCTACTCAGTTATAGTGGTTGTTTCATCTTACCCTTTTGTAGAAGCAGCTTGAATTATAAACTTGTAGTTATAATAAACTTAAAGTAAAAGTCAATGATTTATAATCCTGTTCACCAGTAAAATAACCACTGAGACAAGAAGGGAAAATGTAACAAAACACAGGTTTTTTCTGAGGTATTTAAAAAAGCAAGCTTGTCATTTACAAAGTTTAATTCAAGTTCAAATCTTAAAAATGTCTATTTGCTAAATCCAGCCCGAAGTATAAAGCACAAGCTTTTAATCTTATTTATCTGTACATAATCTTTTTCAGTATTTTTATGAGTTCATTTCAGGCTTGCCTAATGCCTCCACATTTGCTTTTGGATTAAGTTACCCATACTTCTTTAAGTAAGCTTGGATATATTTTTTTTAGCTGTATTTTAATTTTGGAAATAACAATCCAGTGTAAAAAAAAAATTTAATATATGTATTCAGATCAAGTAACTCACAGACAATTGCACTAATGGACACTAAGATGGTGTCTTTTGACATGTTTTGTGACTAAAGCTTTTTCCATCACAAGTTTATGTCCCAGGTTTTTGAAATGTACAATTGATTATAATTATTTTGAGACAGGTTTTGTTGAAATGCAGAGCTAATCATGGATGCACAGGAAATTAAAGTTTACCAAGAGTGGCATGATGATCCCTGTGCTAATGTAACAGGAGTTAGCATACAGGTCACACACACACAGGATGTCAATATTTGACCATCAGATAGCCAATCAACTTCAGTCAATATATCTCAAAACATGCCCATGGTTAAACAATAAATCGATCACTTTTTTAACTCCAAAGAATTTTGTTCAAAGGTGTCTTGTTCAATTCATTTTCAAAATGCTTAACTTTGTAGTTTAGCAGAGCCAATCATATGCCCTAATGACTGGTGCATGTTCTTCAAAGTTATTTTAAATGGATGGTTTAAATCAAATGTAAACATGTCTGACTCTTTCAAAAGCTTCTCCTGAATAACTTGTGGATGTTTGAATTACAATAACACGAATAAAGTAGGCCATAATATATTTTGGCCATGCATCTGCACAGTGTCAGCATAAATTTCTTATTAATAACTTGCTTTAATTTATGTCAAGTTATTTAAGAGCAGTTTGTTTACACATCTAAGCCCTTCAAAGAATAAAATCCAAATCATTTTTTTTAAGTTTCCTGACCAACTTTAATTAACTACTTTCATTGTTCATTACCTCAATTGTTGCTATTGAATGAAGGTCACCGACACATCTTTCCTATTGGTTAAAATAATGGTTATTTCCATTTCCTAGAGAAATTGAACTTGGAGACAGGCTTTTCCAAGTTGATCGAACGAAACGCAAACTCAGAGGGATGCCAAAGCCTGTAAATTGAATTCCATTAGGTAATTAGAGACAAAAGAATTGGTGTACCGTGACAGCATTTAAAGATCGTGGGAAATGTTTATAATCTGATCGGACATTGATGTATAACTTTGCGTCAAGGAATTCTGTTGGCACTTCCCAGTGGCCTTGCCGAGTTACAGGTTTTGTTGTAACTTTGGCAGAGTAGGTTTTCTTTGCTCCCTGTTTCCATGTAGGTTGGAGGCTATAATGTGCACTCTATGTGTGGGAATCCACAGTCCCTAAAGGCAGCACTCTTTCAAACGATTAATCCCCAACAAAAGATTTCTGCTTGTGGGCATGCACTTGTCAACCAATATTTTTATATGAATACATTACATCCGTTCCACCCCCAATATCGAAGAGAATTTCAATCAATTTCATGCAGCACAGAATGCTAATGGTTTCCCGACAATTTTGTATCGTTTCCAAAATTGATTTTGATAAAATGCTGGAGGAGAACTTTGGTGAAATCTTTGAAGAATACAGATTCTTGTTGCCGCGCTTCCAAAAGGTGGCAGAACCATCTTGAAAAAGAATACAAATAGTCCTGGCATAAAAATACGAACACCAAATTTTCTTTAACCCGTAAGCGCTAGCTTTTGTTTGCAAGCAATTTCGAGGGAATTCCAAACAACATACACATAATGAACACCCTGTCAGGGAAGGAAGAAATTTATTACAGCTCGATAATATTATTTGCCTTTATTAATAACCAGGAAAGGCGAAAAAGGCTTTTGACAACTTTGAAGCCATGTCAAGGCATCGATGAAATTAGCGCAAGAAATCCATTAGCATTCGTCGAAAAACAATTTACTCTCGATAAATTAAGTCGCGTACTCCCAAGAAAATATCGTTCACTGAGTTATCTACACTTTCGTGAGAGTAAACACGGTTTTCCGAGAAGTGTGCAGGCATACCTTTTCAACGATAAAAAATAAATGTCTCCTCTACAAGTTATTGTTGTTAAAAATAAACATGACTGGCCTGGCGTAGTCGCGAGTAAGAATCGTAAAAAGACATTACTTTAATCTTTAAAGTTTAATGATTACGTCCAGCTGCGCACATTTTGAATTAGTTACTTTGTCTCGTTCGATGGACAGAAAGGACGCGGCGCGAAAAACGTGCTCAGTTCCAAAAAATAGTCTTTGCCAAAAAATTTGTTGACAAAATTGATATCATTTCCAATTGATCTCAGTAGCCTGCGTTTGGTTTTCTTTTTTGCAGGGAAACTGATCGAACTACGTTTGTGGTTTCACAGAATTGATAAATAAATCTAACTCCTTTGTCCAAACGAAATCTTTTGACAATATACCACAAGGCCAAATTTCTCGTCGGCTCAGAAGGCAAGTTTCCACACTTTCAGTCAAAGTAAATAAGTATGTAAATTTGATAAACAATTTCTGCTGTCAAAAAAGTGTGAAACCCTTTAAGCCAGCAATTAATGCTCTGCCATTACTAAAATGTACTAGCTCTAAATTAAATTCGTTGCCAGTGCAAGACAGCATGGTCTGATATAGCAAAAGCCGGATTACTTTTCGCATTAAAATGTAGTGATACGCCAAAGCAGCTAAAGCCAATACGACAACGAAATGTCACATAAACAAAGATTACACTGCAACACATATCCAAGCTTATCTACGCCGTCAGGAAAGAGAAAGCGCTTTTCTTTCAATAAACAATGCATACGAGAATGATTTTAGACGTAAAATCATCTGGCTCGACTTGTAACAATAAAATTTGAAATTGGTCTCGCCACTAGCTCTGAAAACACACTTGACAAAATCAAGAACGTTTCCTTTCAATTTAATATATCTGTACACTAATTTCTTCTGTCTTCGTGATACAGAGATGCCAAAATTATATATTTACATCATAGACTTTGTCCGTTTAAGTTCTTATTAGTTTTTTTTCCTTTTTCTTTTGATGTTTTTAACTTGAATTAAGCCTGCATAGTACAACATGAACGAATGACTAATTTTGTTTACATCGGTATTACATACCCCGAGGCTTATTCTTATTTGTACGAACGAATATTTTCTAATGTTTTTATTTTCTCTTGAAGCGAGGTATTTTGTGAAGTTCCTGTGTTGAATTTCATTTTGAGAATAATACATGGTCTGTCCCTGAATTGAATAATACTCTCATTGGAGTTGCCTCTATTCACTGCTTCATTTCCGCAGGATTTTATGCTAATACATGTTCTATCAGCTTCTTTTGGCGCCGAAATAAGTGAACTTGTTCCATGATACTAATCCTCTAGATAACTTTCGCCGTAAAATTTAACCCAACTCGCTTCCCCATCGCCCCTTTACGTAAGAATTGCAAAGAATTCACATGTTTCCGTGAATATCTCGTACCAACTTGCGGTACCTACTTCGCACACCTGGGGTTTTGCTTCTGAATTATTGATGGCAATTCAAATTCGTTTGAATGAAAACCCGAGAGCGATGAATTCCAAATTGCAAAATTCATTTTTCCTAGAATTATTTGCTACCTATCTTCCCTATGCGTGTCTCTTCATGTGTAGAGCTAGATGGTCCGATCGTGAAAAGCACCGATCACAATGAACACATTTGAACGGTTTGGCTCCAGTATGTTTTCTGTAATGGCGAGTAAGTTCATCCGAGCGAGCGAAACGCCAGTTGCATCCATCCCAAGAACAACGGTATGGCTTTTCTCCCGTATGAGTACGTTGATGAGCTTTCAGATGCGAGCTCTTCGTGTAAACTTTACGGCAACCACTAAATTGACACCGATGCACTCGCCGTTTGCTCTCCGAGTCTTTGTCTTTAGGGCTGTTTGCTCTAGCACCTCCATTTCCTCCCCTCGCGCGAGGGGAGCGCGAACTCGGCCTGCCTGTTCTCTGCTGGTTCGGGCTACTAAACACAACTACAGGAGACTCCGGTGAGCTCGGTGGAGTTAGCGGTAAAACAGGCTTAGGAATTTTGCTAATCTCTTCGCAGCCCGTTGGGGTCGGTAATTTGATCTTTAGAGGTTTTACTGGGAGCTCCATAGATGGTTTGGTTTCCGTTGGAGTTTCTGGAAGAACCGTAGGCACTGTGGGAAAGGTAGCTATTGAAGTGAAATCAATGGGTTTGATATCCCAGTCGTCGCCAAATGGAAAATTTGACTCGTCGAAAGGTTGAAGTAAAAATTCGTTCCAAGGAGCTGGATTTCCTAAGTTTGAGTCTTTACAATCCAAAGATGATGGTTCAGGGCAAAGATAACGATCCATTTCTAGTCTTGTCTGGAAAGAGAAAATAACAAAATACTATACAAGTCAGCAATGAAAACGAGCGCGAAAATGAAATACACAACGAATACAGAATAAGGTAAACATGGCCGAATTACAAATCACGGTAAAGTTCGCGAGAAACGCAGGAGGCTGCAAGCTTCCCAAGAGTGTCCAAAGCCATCGTTAAAGGCCACATGTTAAGCTTGCTAAGCTACAAGGACAAAACCATTAGAGAAATTCACGTACCTGTGCCCAATCGTCTTCAAGCGATGGAAGCGAGTAGAAAAAGCCTGTGTCGTGAACAGTTTGTAGTTCGTGGAAAATTGAAGAGCACGGAAGAGCAGACTGCAGATCCATGTCGCAGGAGAGCAGCGTAGAAGTGAAAGCTGAGCGTCAGTGAAGCGATGCTACGGGTGAGTGAGACGAAGGAATGTCAGAATAACACAACACACAACACACTATCGCTTCTGTCATACACACTCGCCGACGCTCAAATCAGTCGCAAAAAATAAAGCAGGGGACCCAAGGGTGCTTTGCAAAGTGCCGAGTGTAAAATTATCAATTAGCCATGTGCGCTATGATTGGCAGATGGTTTCAAATTCCACCAATCAAAACACTATGTTTGTCAGCACTCGCAATTAGTCAAAACAAAAGATCCTATCTGACCAATGACTGTCATTATTTCAACAGAAGCCTTATAAGGTTGCGACTATTTTCGGCTGTGATATAAAAATCAGCTGTAACGAACAAACAATCGCGTGGAAGAACTCTCATTAAGTTTCTCTGTAAAATTCCTCGCTAGATCGTCAAGTGTCTTAGCTCCAAAGCCCTTTTTATTGCAACTTATTATCAAATATATTACTCTATTTCTCAGTTGTGTTTGGAGCGTATGAGGTGAACTGTGGTTGTATGACAAATGTTATCGTGTCTATGATGTCACTTTTCTGAAGGAGAACTGATCTTCAGTGTTTTGTTGCGTACGTGCTGAAAATGCATAGATACACACACCAAAATAAGCGAAATCAGGAAATTGCGTGAAAAGGAATTAAACGTCATGGTTTCTTTTGAATTTGGTCTAGAATAACGCGTCGTGTTTCCGTTGGAGTGCGTGACTTTTCAATTCAGTGTTGTTTACGACGTTCTGCGGCGCAATAAAAATAGCAAGTCTAGAACGAAAACAAACATGTCAAAATCATTAAAATAAACAGATCTGATGAAAATCGTCGATTTCATTGTCGTTTCTTTTTTCATCCAGAAAATTAGAAGTTTGGTATATGAACTCAATCAGTGTTAGTGGGTTTCGGTTTAGAGTCGTTCGATAAAAACATACCTGAAAGCAATGGAGCGTGTGTTCCAACAGCGATATTTTGCTTGTGGCCGTATTTGTCACCTTCATTCAGCATGTTTTCGGGAAATGCAAAGGAAATGGTAGTTATTGTTATTTGTCATTAGATCTGTAAAATTAAAATTTATGTAAAGATAACAAATTATCTTTTGTTTTTATCGCCACTGAACCAAGAAAATGCCTTTCATGACGAATCGACCGATTCTTGCATCTATAATTATCCTGTCGGTCCATCGAATGTCAAAACAATACGTGCGGAAAATCTGAAAAGCGATATTTCTCGAAACGATTAAACAATATTTGCGAGTTCTTCGCACCTTTATATCGCCTCGCCCGATCAGTTGAAGTATTCAGCGGAGCAGAACATACTTTCAATATATTTAGAATAAAATACATCTTTTGCAGGAAGTTTATGTATGTTTCGTTGTTTGAGTTGGCTCTTGAAAGGGCGAAATGCCCATTAGAAACTTGTAGATACGTAACAGTTTCCAAAAGTAAACATAGATCAAATATTGTAAAACAATTTAAGATCTATGCCAAAAATTTCAAAATCGTCTTCAACATCGGTGTTTATGGGAAAGCGACTTTGTTCTACGTTCATATCAGCTGTTAAGAGTTTACCGCGATAAGTTATTTCTAACTTCCGCTTTTGTGTGGATGTCTCGAAGAGTCCGCGTTTATATTGTCACGTTTTAAGTTTAAAAGTCTTCAATGCGATGGGCACCATACAGTCAACAATAATTCATCTTGAAAATAACATATCCTCTTCGGTCATACCACGCGTTTGTAGGTAAAGATTAATTTCGTGATTGGATATAGAAGAACAAAGTCTGAGTTTGTATTGATGTGTGAAATTGAAACCTGCCACACTGGAAAGAATTATCAGACAAACATAACGTTTACAAATTCTACCCAATTACGTCGACCAAAGTAAACTTAATCAACCTCGCTACAGAGATCTTGAAGCTCTAAAATCCCTTGATTTACTCTCCCTGCGGTATTTTGGGACATGTTTTCCACCTCTCCTTGACCTGAGCCACTCGGAAGTCGGTAGCCTCAAAGTCTGCAGTTAACGTATAAAACCAAAAATAAGCGAGATAGGTAAATTGAGATCAATTGATCCTTGACGAGCGAATGCCCAGGTTTCTTGTGGTTGTAATCTCTAGAACTAACAAAGAGCTCCGATTACATAGACGCTGTCATTATGGAATTGATTTTGAGAAGTATTTGCTATCAACGACATATACTTGACGCGGCCTGAATTGTCTGATTTTCGATGTTGAAATTTTTTTTTTACCTGTGTCCTTTGGCTTTCACACTCAAATGGCAATCCGCTGGCGTGGGAAGAACTGTGGAGATTGAAGTACCTTGAATCATTCGCCCTGAGGGTCTTGTTTTATTTGATAATTAAGATACAAGAAAGTGAAAGAAGGGTTACGAGATACGCGATTTTTTAAAGAAATTTGTGAATTCTAAAAACTTTCACGTCTTATACATCGTAAGAGTTAAGACAAGTTTCATCATCACCTTCAACGTATTGGGCAAACGGTTAAGAGAATTGATGGTTTGACCTCAAGGTTTTTGTGATGTGTTCCGGAAATACCAGAACTGTGACTCATCTTTCTATTAATTTCCAAAGCCTTTTCTTGCACGCACAGTAAATAAATAAATAAATAAATAAATAAATAAATAAACTTTCATAGCTAACACAATTACTGGTAACCCAGTAGTTTACATTGTGGGCTGTAAAGTTGATATACACTGATCTGGATTTTTACTGAAGATTAATATTGAAGCTCTGATTGGTTCATTAGTTGAAAAAGTACTCGATCGAAAAGTCCGCTTTGAAAATGTGTTAACTAAAGCCATGGGATACATAATTTCCCAACAAGGCAAACAGCAGAGTTTAATCTAGCTTAAGACCTTGTTTAATCTAGGGTTATATGATACAGGAACTACTGTTCTTCTTTTGTTGAAAAAGACAAACAAAACACAAGTATCGAAAACTGCTTTTAATTTTAATTCAGCTACATAGAATTTCAGTCTCAACTGAAAAGTACTTAGTTCTACAGCCAATTTGTGTAGCGTTTTTAATGCCATATCTTTCAGCACAATATTCACTGTACATTAAATTCGTCTCGTAAATCGTTTAATTTCTTCTACTTTTTGACAAAAATACCATTCATTTTCAAACACTTGGAGGTTAGAAGAGTCTATGGGGCACGCCTGTATCGGTGCAGAATTGTACATTAGGAAGAATAATAATCTGTTCTTGGGGGAAGGGTGATTCGTCTCTTTTAGCTACTTTAGAGAAAGACATTATTTTGTTCCATGCACCTCGAAGACGTCTGGGCTTCGTGAAAGTCAACAAGTTCGCGTCCTCTCTAAATTATTTCTGTGCGGGAACAAAGATATGTGTTCGTACACTTTTGAAGTCACGACAAACACAGAATCTGAGATGGTCGGAACGGGATCCATAGGTTTTTTATTTTTTCGCCGCTAACAACCGTAACCTTGCACGTTTACGAGGTAGTCGTCTTCTGTCACGTGATTTTGAAGTTGGCTGTCAATTGGTCCTTGTCCAGGTGCTTTGCTATTGGGGGGTAGGGGTAACGCACTCGCTCACCACGCATGTCAGGCACGCACGCTCTCGACATCTTTGGCGCTTCAAACTCACGCACTCTCGCACGCTCTCTCTGTGGTCGCCGTCACGTGATCAATTCTACAAGAGAAGGAACTAATGGTCAGAAAAGTGAAATAAATTGTAAGAGAATAGTTAGAGACGGGGGAGTATGGACGCGGAATCAGAAGCAAAGCACAGATGTCGCTTTTGTCTCTGTCGCGTGAGACAAGTGAAAACTGAATTCTTTGAGTCGTAAGCCGACGGATGGTCTGATAACTCATGATTGGTTGGTTCTCCTGCCTGTCTTTGCGACTCAGACCACAAGCAGATCACACTATGTGTTCGTGGTTAATAATTGTTGACTTGAGACAAACAAGATCTATGAGAGTTACGAAAAATCTCTGAAAATTGCATATCTAAATTACATCTCGGCCAGAATGTCTCAACATAAAGAGTAAATACATAAAGAGTAAATCGACTCATTTGTGATATTTTTTCGCCTTCATGGGCCGGAGGCCAAAAGTAATTCGGTAATTTTTTCGTCTTATGTCTACAATTATTAACCACGAATATATAGTATGGTCTGCCTGCGCTCAGACTATTTAGTTTTCACATGGTCGTGAGTGTCGGAGCCATCTGCGGAATCAGAGGGAAATGAACCTATCTGACTCTTGGTATCTTCCAGCTCCCCAGTAACGTCGAGCATGACTACCCCTTCGACTTCGACTAAGACTCCGATTATACATCTGTCTCAGACGCTAATAATAATAATAATGATAATAATAATAATAATAATAATAATAATAATAATAATAAACCTTTATCATTATAATGACTAAAAATATTTTTAAAAAATTATGATAAAATAGATTAAACTGTTTAATAAAAATCTAAGAAAAACTGACGGTACACGCTTCGTTTAATAATAATAATAATAATAATAATAATAATAATACGTTTACTTGACCTTTAAAGAAGGAGAAGATAAAATATTATAATAATAATAATAATAATAATAACAACAATAACAACAACAAACGAAACAGCCTTAATGTTGAAAGAACATAACATTCTACGGTAACAGCAAGAAAAGTCTGACTCTTCTATAGACTCTCGTATATCATAAGTCCAAGCGCACCAAAGCAAGATCCAAGATCACCCTTAAATAAAAGATTAGCAATATTTTACTATACCGTACGGAACTGAGTTTGAACAAATACCGAGACGTATCTATCGGATACAAAATTTGTATTTAACCATACTTCAAGACTTAAAACGGATTCAACGCGTTTGTGTATTAGGGAGAGAACTGCTGACTTACAGCTAACTGACCTGCTGTTGTTTGAGCTTACGCAGTTCCTTAGTTGCCCATGTAGCGACTTGTTTGGTTTTGTGTGTCTTTGATCGTCGCCCTTCTTGTAACAGCTCGTTGATGGCTTGCTTTTCGAGCAGGACATGAACTTGGGCCCCGAATGCTGAGCAAATATCTCTACGAAAACAAAATCATTAAAATGAGTAAAATGCATAGATAGCATGATTCAGTCTCTTGGAACAAACTTTTTTAAGGCGTCCTAATCGACGCGCAGTCGCCAAATGGTTGGTGCGCTGCAGTCCCGATTAAAAGGTCCCACTTCGAACGCAAGCCGGGATCATGGGGAAGACACTTCTATCTCAGTGCCTCTTCAGTCTCCACTTAGGCCCAGAGGAGTTAACAAATAGTAAACACCACACGCACATTGCTTAGTTATAGATGCACGCGGGAGGTTACTAAGCACGAAAGAAGCGTAAGTCGCGCGAGAAGATAGCCGAGAGCTTCTCTTGCTTCTTGAGTGCTTAGCAACCTCCCGCGTGCATCCAGAACTCAGTGGCGTACACCGTCGTGTTAACCATTTGTTTTGTACCATAACATTGATACATTGTAACAAAAGTGTTCCGTTTTTTTCTTAACAAATCTCACGTGGCCAGAAAAAAAAACATGCTCGCGTCAGCAGAGTACACCAATGGCAAAATGGCGGACACTGAATTGACCAATCACAATGCTCGCTTTACTTTGGTTATGTTATAATATAAAATAGATACCAGTGGAATTTTCAGGGGGATAAGGCTAAGTACTGGCAGCCTAGCTTATGACGGGCTCTTTGTCAGTAGAATTTCCATCACATTTCACCGGTATGTCACGCTGACTTGGAATGTGTTGGGGTACCCAGTGATTACAAGAGACGCAGAGTTGTGAGTTGTGAAAAGGTCGCCATTAACTGGAATGAAGCATTTATGTAAGCTTTTGAAAGCAGACAGACCCCAAAGGAGAAAGAATAAACCAAAAGGTAACAAGGATAGTAGAGGACATACAAATAAGGTAATCTGGTTTTCTCAACTAACTTAAAATTGTAAATTGGCCACCGTAAAGAGTTAAAAAGCTGACGTTTCGAGCGTTAGCCCTTCATCAGAGCGAAAGACGAAGGGCTAACGCTCAAAACGTCGGCTTTTAACTCTTTACTAAGGCCAATTTTCATTATGAACTCATTTGATAAAACCAAATTACCTTGTCCCCCCACCGACGCAGCTCCCGACATACAAATAACACGGTTTGCAAATGACGAACTTGAAAAGTAACATTAATATCCACATTCTCCACACTGTTCTCTTTACATTTTCTACGGTTGTGACAAGGAGAGTTTGTTTGACAATCAGGAGCTTCTCCAATTGGTGATCGTTTCCTTTATTCTCATGACCTTTAGTTTACATTTTATTTCAGGGTGATAATGCAAAGGAGAAATTTGAAGCTAGTCACTCTTAGAGTTAAAGTGTTGAAGGCATTACCATGGGATGAAAAAGATCTGGATCAATGATTCAAAGCCACATCACTCGGTTTACCTGAGCGGCTCACAAACTCCTCATACAATGAATAAAGGCTGATAGTTTCGAAAGAAACTGTTTGGGCCTGCGTCGGTGGGAGTAACGAAATAATTTGGATATATCAACAAAGTTGAAATGGTAAATTGGCCACCGTAACGAATACAATGTCCTCATACAATGTCCTCATACAATGACCACCTACCCAACAAGACCACAAGCACTGGACACATTGCTTTCCGTATGATCCACGTCTGTTGCTATGACCTCAATGAAGTTGATGATATGCAGAAGGTGAGGCTGAATTACATCCAGAACTAATTTAAAAATCACAACCGCAATAAGACTGACGGATTGAAGATGATTCGAATTACAACTAACAGCAAGAATGAATGACATTAGAATAATTGCTTCACTGGGTACCATTTAGGGTTCCATAGTAAAAGGTTTCTTTTAAAGAAACTGGCCAAAAAGGGCTCAGGTCGCCCCCTTCTTTAATTTTACGGAGCCCTATTTCAAAAATGGGGACCCAATAAAGGGAACCCAATACAGGGGACCCTATAAATGACCAAATAAAGGGGACCCAATTAAGGGGGCACTACAGAAGGTTTCAAAGTACTTGTAGAGTATATTCAGTGAGAAAACGAAGAAGCTACATAGCAGCGCTCGTACAAATCTTGTTGTCAATTATGTTTTCGAACACATTATTTAATAAAACGAACACGACTTTAAAATACGTAGTGCTTAGCCTTGAGCACAATTTTTTGCACCCCATTTCACGCTAAATCGTAAGTTTTAGGCGGTATTTCTTTTCCAATTACGGAAATCCTGCAAAGCTGCGCTCTAGAACAAACTCTGACGGTAAGAAATTCGGGAAAGAGAGATGTTAAGGAGCTTCACTATACTTACGACCAGGTGTGGGACTGGGTCCGTCAGTAGAGCCTTTTAGTCCTTGTATAATGCCAGTGTAAGCTTCTAAACATCCTTCCCTGAGCTCATTTAAGTAGTCCACCATGTCATAATCCGCCTGAAATTCAGACCGAAAGATTTGGGGTAACTATCTTGTAAGAGAAATTGATCAATACAGCAGATCAAATAAAAACCTGATATCAAGTTTGGGGAGGACAACCTCCCAGGAACTTCAAACTTCCTGGAAGGTTGTCTTCTCTCCACTTGGCTACACTTCCTTCTATCCTGGAAGTGTAGCCAAGTGGACAACGGCATCAGTCGGCGTCAAAAGATTATTCTGTTCTGCAGCTGTTTGTTTTGTGGAGAATCGGTATCCAGTTGCATATCAACTGGATAACGATTTGTTTTCTATATGACGTTTTTACCCTTAAATAAACAAATCAGATATAAGTTATGTTGTGATTCGCCAGCCAACATTTTGTATCTTCGTTTCCTGGTTACAAATCGAACTGAAATGGAGCGAAGGTTTCAGCGGAGAGAAACATTGGAGAAACTGAAGGAATACCCTTGAAGAAAAAGTGGCAATCAACAACAGAATCAGCCCACTCGTAACGCCTATTTCAATGAATCAAGCCCGGGCTATGGTGGTCGAAGGTGAACTCTCCCCTCCTCCTTTCCTGCCTTCTGCCCTCCCGTACCACGTCCCCTCCCCCCGAAACCTACCATCCTGATTCTCAACAAACTTGACCTTGATTGATTGAAGTTCCCCTACACAGGCTCTTAGACCCTGAACAGAAGTCCGTTAAAGATCGTTCATGGGCGTATAGGTTGTCACAAAAATGTTGAGGTCACCAGTATCGTTTGTTTTTTCTCTCTAAGCTTCACAACTCATTTTAGTACTTTCAGAACGTTTGTATGCATTGAAATCTATTTTTTTTAATCCATCCAACTTTAAATAACTTACTTTGTCCACAATCGTAACAGATGCTTGATTCAGAGTTGCTATGACAACATCAAAGTAGGGAGAGAAACTGGGCCCGATGGCTAAAGCAACATCACCAAACACCGAGAGAATATGAGGTTTGACGCTGCGATGGACATTTGCGTCCTGTTAAAATGCAAAATGAAACTCCTTACTAGAAAGAACAAACACAGCAATCGAACGTCAACGCATGTACGTGCGCTGTAACTGCGAAAAAACAAAACCAAAACAATGCAAATGAAGAGCACCACAAAGAGTACCTCAAAGAAGAGGTGTCGCGCATCGTACAAATTTAAAACAAGTGTAAGTAAACAACGTTGTTCTCACCCCCTTTCCCGCTCCCCCGTCCAAATTTACTTACACATAAATTTAGTTTCTGGATAACAGCATGAAAAGAAAAGAATGCTGGTATCAACAGCTACAGATAAGCGTGGAACCAAAAAAAAAAAAAAAACAAAATCAAAAACAGAAAAACCCATCATGCGAGGGGCATGAATCCTGACGATAGAGTGAAAATACTCACCGCCAGGTTCTCCATTAAAATCTGCATGAAAAGGTCACTGACGTTCATTATTTTTTCTCCCAGTGCTCTAGCAATGTCTCCAACTAGTCCAACAGCGGCAACACAAACCTATTATAGAAAGATGGATGGAAAACATTATTACAGTGACAGAGAAACTACTTATTCATCTACTTGTCTGTTGTATAATTACTCACGTTCTGTTACTCATTGATTGAAGATGGCATAAGCATGCCAAAACATGTCTCTCAAAAAAGTTGTCTATTTCTTACAATATTTGAGCTTTAATTGTCACATCTCACAGATGTGTGTTAAACAGATAAACAAATTGGTGTTCTCAGGCGCGTAGCGTCCTATACGCATATACGCACGTGCGTACTTCAAGTGACCAGAAAATTTTGAAATTTTTAGCAATTGATTTTTACGCTCAGTTTACTTAGGTTTCTAGATCATATGTACTTGTGCGTACTTGAAAAAATGACCACGCTACGCGCCTGGTTCTTAAGAGATTTAAAAACATTATTACCAGTAATGTAATGCCGCGTTTATACAAAGCTTTTATTCCACTACACTTTCAATATTGCTCCCTTGCAAGTACAATACAAGTGCAGTACATTGATTCATTTACCCGTTTGGCTGATTAAGTATCACCTCTTCGCATGGCTGCTGACTCTGCACATTGCAGACTTTTAAGCCTTGCTTGGAGACCAAAATAATCCATTTTAAAGGACAATGGTCATACAGAAGAAGAAGACATTCTTTAACTTAGCTTGGTCCTTAAGTTAACATTAACGTGAGCTAAGTAAAGTTAATGCTAAACGGCATCTTGAATGCTAGAAAAACAATAGCTGAACAAAACTACATTGACGCTGATCGATCGACTGTGTTAAATTCGGCATTGCTTCACTGGAATTTACCACTCAATGATAATAACTCAGTTATTAAAGTAAGGCGGGAACAATGCAGTTCCTTTCCTCTGAACTATATATTTAGGAGAGTGTTTCAAACGTTATTTCACTGAAAACACACTATTCAGAAATATGGCGTTACTGAAGTGCCACAAAAGTTACACAAGTGCCACAAAAGTTAGACAAGTGCCACAAAAGTTACATGAGTGCCACAAGTTACACGAGTGCCAAAAAGTTACACGAGTGCCACAAAGTTACACGAGTGCCACAAAGTTACAGGAGTGCCACAAAGTTACACAAGTGCCACAAAGTTACACGAGTGCCACAAAGTTACACGAGTGCCACAAAAGTTGCAAGAGTGCCACAAAAGTTACACGAGTGCCACAAAAGTTACATGAGTGCCAGGTTACAATAGTGCCATAAGTTACATAAGTGCCATTAAAGTTACAGAAGTGCCACTGTAGGTTACGCGAGTGCCACTTTGCGTTACACAAGTGCCACAGTGAGGTTACAAAATTGCCTTTATGTCTAGCTCTCTACAAGGATAAATCACCTGGTATTCAACTCGCTCTCTCAGTGCTTCTATTAAATAAGGCTTGAAAGATTCCATGTAAGGGTCAAAATTCATCCCAAGAACTAAAAAAGAGACAAGATTTGATATGGATGATCAGACTACCACACCACACAGGTGACTGCTACTCCTGTGTTCAAGCCAGCCCTTTTTTTTTTTTTTAAATTAAATATCAAGAATTACTTAACAGATATGAAAGAAATTACATTATTACACTACATCACAATGATAAATTACCTACAATAGTACATTACGTTACAATACTGCTTTATTAACACGATACTATTACTAACAACGCTATAAGTACAATTTAAATTAAACAAATAACTGCAATGTTTATTAAATTTATCAAAAAAAAAAATTATTTTAGGGGCACTTTTGCCAGGCCACTTAGAAAGATGAAAAGAGCTGAAAAACATTCAATTAAGTTAAAGTTGTATCAGAACTCAAGTCAGAGTTATCAGAGGAATTCATAGTGACCGCATGGGTGCACGAGTGCTTCTCCTGCATTCAAACCAGTAACTGTGTTACAAGTTTGATGATTCATTTTATTATTTGTGAACATACCTTCCACTAGAGTACCAATGGCCATCAGAGCATCTTCCTGCACCCCACCCACAATCTTCACTCCTGAACCAGGACTGAGCATTTGAAGCAGTGCTTGCATCATCAGTGGGGCAATCTGTAGTGCATCTTGTGGATTCACCTTTCTTAATACACTCTGTCAGGGAAATAATCACATTAAGGAACTAATAAAAAGAATTAGAATTTGGCACAGGTGCTTAGCTAGCCAATTATCAACCAGAAGGGTTCCTAATATGTAGTTCCATTGGCTCCCACTGCTTTAAAAGAATGTTCGGAAAGCATTTTTGTTGACAGATAAGCTGTTCCCCAAAAGTTCTGAAGCATGTCAACCAGCTTGAATGACATGCCCATCTTGCCTGGTAACCAGGATTTTCTTCATCCTGTCCCCCAGTTTCCACAGCCAGTCATTTAATATTTGAAGGTATTGCCAAGCATTGTTAGAGTAGAATGTTGAAATTATGTTAGACTAAAATAATGCACTGTAACAATAAAGGGTATCAAAGGAAAAACTGTTCACCTGTAGTGTTGCACATAACAGAGACTGCAAGTCATGGTACTGAGCTCTGTCTGCTACATTTTTCTACAAAGAACGATGACCACATTACCAACATACACAATTTATTTCAATCATATTTTCAGGGTTCGTACCCTTTTTCAGAAACAAATTTCAAGGACTTTTCCCGCGCTTTTCCCGGCTCAGATTGATTTTTCAGGACTCCAAATTTGATATTTGACCCTTTTATTCCCAAGACTTCAAATTCAATTCTCCTCCTTGCAGTGTACACACATTTCTTATAAAAAATTCTGAAAACTTTATTGCTTGATTGAAGCAATTTCCAAGACTATCTAGACATTGTAGTCTTTTTCCAGGACCCATGCCACAAACCTTGTATTTTGCAGTTATGATATAAGTAAATGAGTAGACTGACCTGAAAGTTAGTTTTTAATCAACTTTTAACTTCCCAGCCTATAGTTCACAACGATAAGATGGCTACCATGTCGGTGTCAAACCACAGACCACAAAGGCTCATAAGCCAACATAGTAACAAGATATAGTTATGATAATATCTTTATAATGTTCAAGTCAGTAATTTAAAATATGACATCAGTGGTGTTAGATTTAAATGCCTTGTGATTGGTCAGAAAAAAGTTACACAGAGCAAGGTTGAGTCAAAGGAAAGATGAAATGATGAAGAAACAGTTTTAAATATCTCAAGCTATACTGACATCAAATATTGTTAGTCTCACCTCCATTTCCAATAATCTGTTTAGTCTTTCCAGAATCACCAGTGTAGTTCCTTGTACAACATCATAACAATCCTGTGAGAACATACAAATACATATTAAAAACTTGGTACATCCCTTCTTTTTCTACCAGAAACACTTCACGGCTGTAAAAAATAACTCACTTACTGGAGCCAGGGCTCAACACTAATGGTTGCCAACTAGCCACAGACTAGTAGAAATTCAGTTTTGGCTACTGGTTTTCGATTTCCACCAGCCAGTTTGACTAGTAAACAAACTGAAACTGTTATAACATCTAAGTTGTCACAAGCCACTTGGCTAGTAAGTTGACAAGATAATGTCAAGCTCTGGCTATATCCTGTTCTTGGAGAAAACTGCTGAAGTTGTGAATAAAGTTGTATGGAAGGCCAGAGTCATGAGCCCTTATATCAAAAGTGAACCTATTGTCAGCTTGGACACTCTCTCAGCCTGGAATGGAGGTTCATGTCTGGGTTGTAGGTATTACCAGCCATGGGAGCAGTATTCATTCTGAAGGCTTGCTGAAGAGTGTGGAAGCCCTGGTTAATTAAACCAGATATCCACCCACCACTTCAGCAAGACAGCAGTTGAATTTTGCTAGATAAGAATAAAACAAAGTTAAGTGATATTCTGATGAATAAAGGCTGATAGTTTCTAAAGAACCTGTTTGGGGCTGTGTCGGTGGGGGTAACGAAATAATTTGGATATATCAACAAAATTGAAATGGTA